TATATATATATATATATATATATATATATATATATATATATATATATATATATATATATATATATATATATATATATATATATATATATATATATATATATATATATATATATAGAAGAGTTCTCGAAGATAACATAAGAGTAAGAGTTCTCTAATTATAACATAATGATAGAAGCCATATCATTATATTATTATTATACGAAAAACTTTAATATCAAAATATAAAATTAAATAATAATATATCTAATTTATAATATGTACCTTTCGATGTCATTCAGAAAACTTTTACCTGATCTACGGACGTAGTCATTATATTCGAATGATTTCAATATACAAGGAGAACTAGACTCGCTTTTTTCTATCTTCCTATCGTGACCATTATGTGTGATAGATTAGGGACAAATGGGAGATGAGTGAAGATCTATAATCTCTCAATAGTGTTACGTATTCTCATCTCTTTATCTATATATCCTTTTATAGACTATAGTAGAGGGAGTAGGATAAGTAATTAAGAGAGTCCCTCCTATCAAAGTATCTCTTGAGGAATCCTACATGATGGTGTCATGAGAGTATCGTCAATTGATGAGTCGACCCGGTTGGTCTACTATCGAAGGTACAAGCTCATTCATGTGTCTCTTTCTAGCTGATGTGGAAGACTTTGTGAGGTAAGACCGCATAAGCTATCCGATTGGAAGTCGTTCTGTTGGTGAGGACTTAGTTTCGGATGGTTAGGTAAGTGAATTGGGATCTTTCTAGTTGTAAGGTTTCTCCCCGAGGGCTGGGTCATTTAGGTGTCTTCGGGTGATTGGCGATTCTATATGACAGGCCGGTGCCGGGGGTTTCCAGCGCATCGATCCGGTCGAGGTATGATCTTGGGGTCTTCATGCCGAGTGCATGACTAGGGAGCATGTAAGCTTGACCTAGGTGCATCTCTCGGGTTTTCATACTGAGGTACACGACTAAAGAGTGTGTAGGCTTGGCCTTGGTGTAACTCTCGGGGCTTCATGCTGAAGTGCTTGGCTCGAGAGCGAGTCCTTTTTAACTTTACTCATCTAAGGTGCCACTCTCGGGTCATCATGCCGAGATACATGGCTACGGAGTGCATAGGCTCAGCCTAAGTGCAACACTTGGGGCATCTCACCGAGATGTATGGCTAGGGAGCGTGTAGGCTCAGCTTAGGTATAGCCCTCAAGGCTTCACGCCAAGCTACTTCGCTCGAGAGCAAGTCCTTTTTAGCTCTATTCATCCAAGGTGCCACCCTCGAGCCTTCATGCCGAGATGCATGACTAGAGAACGCGTATACTCGGCCTAGGTGTAACCCTTAGGGCGTCTTGCCGAGGTGCATTGCTAGGGAGCACGTATGCTTGGCCTAGGTGTAGCCCTCGGGTTTTTATGCCGAGGTGGATACCTAGGGAGCATGTAGGCTCGACCAAGGTGCAGCCCTCGGGTCTTTATGCTGAGATGCACGACTATGGAGTGCATAGGCTCAACCTAGATATAGCCCTTGGGGCTTCTCACCAAGTGTACGACTAGGGAGCATGCAAGCTCGGACTAGGTGCATTTCTCGGGTCTTCATGCCAAGGTGTACGGTTAGGGAGCACATAGGCTCAACCTAGGTGTAGCTCTCAGGGCTTCTTATTGAGTGCATGGTTAGGGAGTCTGTAAACTTGGCCTAGGTGCATCCCTCGGGTCTTCATGCTGAGGTGCACATCTAGGGAGCATGTAGGCTTAGCATAGGTGCAGCCCTCCAGGAGCTGAGCTTGGCTGCATTGAGGTAGAGGATCTAGCTCGTCTAGGGTCAGACTCAACTGCATTGAAGCAGGAGTCCATACTTAGTTGTGTCGAAGCAAGAGTCCAGACTCATTTGAAGGTTCAACCCAACCGCATTAAAGCAAGAGATTGGATCCACCCAGGGTCGGATTCACTTGTGTTTCAGGCAGTTTTTGGTATTGCGGGGCATATATGGTGTGCCACCTTATCTTGATAGCATACACCCCTTTCTATGGGGTCCTCCTCCGTGGGTTTGATTCACAGAGGGATCTGAACTCCCCTTTTCCATTTCTAGTGCTTCTATAGTTGTGCTAGGGTAGGTGATGCGATCTTCGCTGGTCATTGCTTGCATGGCCCATAGGTATATCGTTATGTCAAACCGATGCCTATTAGACAAGGAGTTGCTTTTATATAGTATTCTCTTGTTTTTCTTCTTCTATTGTTGTTTCTTGTTGTTGGTTGCTAAATTCTTCGGTGCAAACTAAGATGTCCTCCTCCTCAAATAAAACTCCGCCTTCTCCTTGAGGGTCGTCCTCTTCTAACGATGACCTTCTGATTGCCTTTAGTCCTCTTTCTCGATACCAACGGGGTGCTGAAATGTTGACCGCCTCCTCCCGAAAGGTAGTTCAAGTGAGCTCTTCATTCATGGGGAGTGAACCTTTTGAGACTTCTATAGTCCCTTGGGACCTTGTGCGAATGAAGGAGGTCCACGAATGCAGTTCATGGTGACCTTGCTATAGTTAGAGGCATTACACAATTGCTTCCGGGTTCTATCTGATAGAAGATAAGATTTCCCCAACTATATGAGGAAATCTCTCTATTGAAAATCCTTTATTCTATTGAGGGAAATCCTTCCTCCTAATCTATATGTATAAATAGGAGAGGGACATGTTAATGTATTTAAGCTTTTTCACATTTTCAATAAAGCTTCTTCAATAATTGTTCTTATCTTCTATTATTTTTATCATGGTATCAGAGCAGTGAGAAAAGCGAAGCTTCGCTCTTACCTTCGGCCAGCGACTAACGCCGTTGAGAAAAGCAAAGCTTCGCCCTTCCCTTCGGCCAGCGACCAACGCCGCTGCAGCCAAATTCCTAAGAGGCTCCATGGTTAATCCTCATCTTCCTCACCGCAATAGTCTTCGTTGATCTGCCAACAGTCGACAGACTTAAGGAGAATGAAGGACGAACTTAAGGAGAACAAAAGGAATGCCTGTTCCCTCACAGCAACAGTAATCGCAGCAACGACAACGATCTGCTCTTGCTTTACTCACGAAGCCTCTCGCTCGTAAACCATTCTTTACATCGATCCAAGATTGGTATCCTTGACAGGAGCACGGGGGCATGATAGAAGATAAGATTTCCCCAACTATATAAGGAAATATCTCTATTCTATTAAGGAAAATCCTCTATTATGTTAAGGAAAATCCTTCCTCCTAATCTGTATAAATAGGAGAGGGGCATGTTAATGTATTTAAGCTTTTTCACTTCTTCAATAAAGCTTCTTCAATAAAGCTTCTTCAATAATTATTATTATCTTCTATTATTTTCATTACTATCGAAGTTTTTTATTATCTTCTATTATTTTCATTACTATCGGTGGGCGGAGGAGTGGATGTAGGTCACAATGATCGAACCACTATAAATCGATTTACATTTATGTTTTACCATTTATCTTAACTATAAATTGCCTTCCTTGCTTTACATTAACTACACTTCCGTATGCTTTCAATCTAAAGATATTTCCGAAATGGTTTTCATCGAAATCAGATTTTACCGCTGCATTAATTCACCCGCCCCCCCTCTTAGTGCCGACTTATTCCTAACAATCAATTTATCTAAGTATTAGAAAAATATTTCTATAATGTTTGATCTAAAACATATAAAAGTTATGCTTATACCTTTTACTTTTAGACTAAATCTTATAGTCCTTATTCACATTACATTTCTCGTCATTCAAGTATTACTTTACTATGAATATTTTTTTTGAGTTTATATAGTATTTATAAATTTAAATAATTTATGTTTTAACTTTCTTTTATTGTTATCCACTCTTTATTTAGTACCTAAATATTATGAGTCTTTCTTACTTTAATCTTAATAATATAAGGGCATTTATTAGAAAATAATTAAGGAAGTATCATTATAATAAAATAATATAATATTAATGTTTTAAGTTTTTTAATAAATGCTGAACTATTATTATAAAATAATATAATATTAATGTCTTACTTTAGTCAACTTATTTAAGTTTTACATATCCTTAATTTTATTATTTAAAATTTAAATAAGTAAAATAATAATAAATAAAATTAAAAATAAATTATATAAGAAGGAGCTCAACTATATTCATGCTAAATGCTCTTTAAGCTTAGCTTTGCAAGCCATATCGAGGATATAATATTAAATTTCTCAAATATTATCGTATTGAATTACAGTTAGTGTTTTCATTAATATATAAGTCAATGACTTATTAATAAATTTAAATTGATCTTTAAATATTTTAGTGTGCTAGTTGTATACTGTAATGATGTCCGGATATTATTAATAATTATCATAAAACTGAGTATTTTAAATCTTTTTTGATCATTTATCTCAATTATTTGTTCTACAAAACTTTTAGTAGCTAAGTCTGTGATTCTTTCAACCAATCTAATGAAGGTGTAACACACCTAATAAAAATTACATATACTCAAGTCATTGATAATAATTTAATCTAAAAAATATAAGGGCATTTATTAGAAAACAATTAAGAAAGTATCATTATAATAAAATAATATAATATTAAAGTTTTAAGTTTTTTAATAAATACTGAACTATTAATATCATATCTATTTTACATTTGGATTAAATATTGACATATCTAATATTCATACACAAATATTTATGGAGAACTGATACCATCCTCGTAGAATAGAGTTGCTACCTTTGGGTATATAATATAACTTTAAACTATAAGAATTTTCAAAATAGCATCATCATACCCTATCATATAATTATTTGAAATAGATTATTCTTTATGATTATTTAAATCTCTTAATTATGTGTGTTATTATGAATGTTATTTTTTTAATGATATTTAGGGTTAATTTATAAGTTATTGGTCCAGGCCAATTTGATAGCTATAAGTTTAATATCATAAAATAAAATATAATTTAAATTATCTTATAAATGATAAAACTTTTATTATAATTTACATCTTATAAGTCTACCATCATAACCCACTTTGGTAGCTACTAGTCAAATAAAATTTAGGGATATCAGTTACAAATAATATTCATAAAATTTCTTCAATCTAATTTATGCTAAAATAGTTTAATAATAATAATCATAATATTATTGAACATTAGTCAATATAAAAAAACTCATATGATTACTGTAATCATGATGAAATATAAATCATGCCTTTATGTAAAAAATAAATATTATTTCATAATTTTAAATATATGTATATGAATAACTAAATAAATATATAAGAACAATAATTAGATTTTTATTTATCATATATAAAATGTTATTAATATGTTATATGAGAAAACTATTAAAGAAAACCATAATTTATATATTTTTTTAATTTTATATGTAACTCTTCTAATAATCAACTCTATTTAATTGGACAGACCTATAACCGAGCTTCCCAAATTAGCTTCATAGATTTGGGTGGATCATTCACCCAATTAAGCTTATCAAGATTAAAGTTGATCAAAATTTATTTTTTTCCTTGAATTTGATCAAAAATTAATTAATCGAACCTAAATCCAATCAAATAGTCAAAACACAATAATGATCAAGTTCGATCCAAATATTTGATTAATTTAATTTAAATTAATTAATTTTATAATTAAGGATATAAATAAAAAAACTTTAATTTTTGAAGGGTAAAACTATAATTTTATTGGGATATGTAGATAAAATATATAATTTTTGAAGGGTAGAATTGTTAAAAGGACATAGATTAAAATTTTACTAATTACATAGAGGTAAAAATCTCCTTCTATTTAAAAGAAAGAAACCCTAATTATACTCCCTTTATGTGATCACCATCGCTTACACGTCGCCCGACAATCCTGTTGGCCTTCGACATCCAATGACGTCGACCGTGGCCAACAGATGACGCTGCAATGGCATTATTGCAACTACCATAACCATTATAGGCAGCAATGATACTGTTGTAGCCATTGCATGCAGTGACAATCGTTGTAGCCACCACATGCATATGTAGTGGTCGAAGTTGCTACAAGCAACAACGTTGCATAGCCGTAGCATGAATTGTAGCTGCCGCAAGGTTGCCGTAATCTATAGCACTTTCACTACATACATAATCACCACCCACGATTGGGCTAGCGACCATCGAAGATTGCCGCCCTTAACAAAATAATGGTCGATAACAAGTTATAGATAGTGTTCCATCAATCAAACACGAGAAACTTCACATATCTTATAAGCAAGTGATAGGAGAAACTTTATAAAAAAGCAGATTAGCAATACAGATGAATCATTCATGGATCGTAAATAAAAATCAAATAGCATATTTTTTATTTTATAAACATGACTTTGATATCAATTGTAAGTATAAAAACTATCCTTATGCTACTATTATACAAAAAATTTTAATACTAAAGTATGAAATCAAACAACAATAGATCTAATCTATAATGTATACCTTTTGATGTTATTTAAAATACTTTCATTTGATTTTTAAGTGAGCACACTTTCATTCGATCCAAAAGCTATAGTGATACTAATATGTTATTGGACTGGCAGCCCACAGATTTAGCCCATAGTGGGCTTGGGCAGCCCACAGCCCATACCCCCTCTTAACCTAACCCTAATTAACATTAGGGGGGTGTGGTGGCTGTGTTTTAGAGGCAGAAAAAAGTTATAAAAAGGCAGCAACGTGGGAGAAGGAAACAGCCACAAGATTCCAAAGAAAACGAGGAAAACAAGGCAAAAAAGGAAGAGAAAGAAAGGGAAGAAGACAAGGACAACGTAGAGAGACTGTTCTCAATCATCTAGCAGTGGTGATTACTTGGGGAGGTTTTAGATATTGTAGGCAATGATGTGATCCTTATATCCCAGTTATTCTCTTGAGATTGTGGAGGTTTTAGATATTGTAGGCAATGATGTGATCCTTATATCCCAGTTATTCTCTTGAGATTGTTGCTAGGGTTTAGGGCAAGAGATTGGGATTTGTATATTCATTATTCTCATAGTGGATTATCTCTAGTGAACTAAACTCACATTCTCCTCTCTTTCTATCTTTCACAGAACCATTATGTGCGATAGATTATGATAAAGGAGAGATAAGAGAAGATTTATAATCTATCATTGACTAATTTACGTGACTAATAAGAGAAGATTTATAATCATCTGATAATATTATGTATCCCTATCTTCCCTTATTAGTATATCCACATATCCATATCCATACTTAGTTCCTAAGAGGTCGTGTGCCTTTATAAGTGAAAACAAAGGGTCTAAAATAAGTAATTATGAAATTTCCAAACTTATTTCCTAAGTAATTATATCATAATTGAGTTTCTTTTCATTGATTGATAATTATAATTAAAATCTAATTATATCTATAATATATATTATATAGTTAGATAGAACTATATAAACTAACACAATGGAAATATTCCATTAGCATATTAACAAATGATTATATATATATATATATATATATATATATATATATATATATATATACTAGTGGATAATTATGTATGTATTCTAGTGTCCCAAATGTTTTCTCTAATTATGTATATATTCTAGTGTCCCAAATGTTTTCTCCCATCAATTTTGACCTCTAGTAGCGTCAAGCTACGGGGCCACATGAGAGGTTTCGTGAGATGCTGGGTCAACTCGAAAATGACCGGCTGTAGAGCGTACCATTAAATTACACCTTTAAATAAGTAAAATTATTCGAAAATTTGTTAAATATTCTTATTTGTTTGATTATGTAATATTCGATAAACCGATAAAACATCAAATACATGACATCTAAAATCAAAGGAATAGAAAGAGAGAATACTGACCATGAGAAGCGCTTTAACGTTAGTCATGGTAAACGGCGTCTTACCGTCGCCACCTTCCGTCTCCAACCTTAGCATGAACTCCAAGAAGTCGTCTCCTCCCTGCTTCTTGCCTCCCCCCTCCTCCAATTTCCTCCTCCTCCTTTCGATGATCGACTCGAAGATGCGATCGAAGCGCTCCAACAGGACGTGCATCTGCTTCTGAATCCCGTGCAGGTCGAACCTCGCGAGCCCCGGGAAGAAGTCCGACACGTTGGGCCTCCCCAGCAGCTCCGTTATCTCCGCCACCAGTTCCTGGAACTCCTTCCCCACCACGCTCCGCTCCTCCCCGTCCTCAAGCGTCCCGCCCCACAGCGTGCTCGTGATCACGTTCATCATAGCCAGGAACATCTCCGCGCCGACGTCCACGGGGCTGCCCGCGCGCGCCCGGAGGCTTCTGACCATGGCCCGCACCTCCCGGCGGCGGAGGTCGTAGATGGCGTCGAGGCCGGCGGGGCAGAGCATCTCGCGGACGCAGGCGCGGCGGAGCATGCGCCACACGGGCCCGTTGGGGTTCCACACGATCTCGGTGCCGCCGCCGTAGGTGATGACGCGGGCGGCGGCGGGGACGTCGCGGTTGGCGAAGGCCGCGTCCTGGTCCTTGAGCACCTCGCGGGCGAGGGAGGGGGAGGTGACGACGACGGCGAGCTTGGCGCCGAGACGGAGGCTAAAGATGGGGCCGTGGGCGCGGGCGAGGCGGGCGAAGTAGGAGTGCAGATCGGGTTCGAGGAAAGGGAGGCTACCGACAAGGGGGAGGCCAATGGGGCCGGGGGGGAGGGGGGCGGACCTCGGGCGGCTGTGCCGCCGGAACCAGGCGGCGTACCACAGGGCGGCAAGGAGGCAGGCGGCGGCGTAGACGAGGAAGCTATCCATTGACTTTCTTTCTTCTGTGCATCCCAAGCAATAGGATGTGGTGAGTGTTGTACTCTTATCGAGTGGGAATATGGCCGGTCTATGATGTTTTGATGGGTGAGAAGATACCCTGTTGTCGGGTAACAGTGGCCACACAGAAGCCACCAAATTTCCGATGACGAGAACGCCTCCTTTAGTTTAAGATGATAATTAAAAATACTTAGCAGAGTAGGAGATGCTAATTGATCTGTTTTCTTTTCTCTTTCCCTTTTTTTTTTTTTTGAGAGAAAAGAATTACTGCTCAGGTTTTCCTGTATTCACTCGCAGATCGTATTTTTCTGTCCGTGGGGGCTGCACGGTTCCTGTGTTCACTCGATTCCGGCCTTTTCGGATCCCAGCAGTTGGCGGGGACGACTAAAATGATTAGGTTAGGTTCGGTTAGGCCTTCTGTGGAGGCGACACGAAACGGCGCCTTGAATTCGATTTGACTCGACGATAGCTGAGTCTCAGCGAGTCCTGATTTGACTCGAACAGTTTCTCGTGTCTCGAAAGGGTACGACCGCTTTGGTGGGCCCCCCTCCGCTTTGTCGAATAAAAACAAGGGATAAATACAAGCGTCAGTGTGAATCAGTAATATGTGGGTCCCACGACAGATCAACATGTAGTCCAAACAAGTAATTAGATTTCAATTGCATCGGATGGAATAAACATATGGAATGTGTCTTAAAGGATGCCGTGAGTTTTAGTCCGAGAGAAAACCTTTTAGAATAAAAAATAAAAAAATGAATCAGAAACTCAACGAACGATTCACCGTACTAAAAAAAAAAAAAACACTATCCCACCATACCCTCCCACATAAATATAGAAAAACATAGTTTATATACAATAATAAATCCTATATACTTTTTTTTTCCTATTTGAATTGATAATTTTTATTCTTTAAATAGTTTAGATCTATATAAGACTCCTAAAATACTCAATAACCCTAACAAAAAAATTGACAATTGATAATAAATACTAAGATCAAAATTTCGTCCTGCCAAAATAATCAACTATAGTTAAAACAATCTTTATTTGTCTCTTTCGTCCTTTTATTATTTTCAAATCAAAAATATCTTTCTTCTCTTCTCTCCGAATCATTTCATATATCATTCGAATAGCTCAATCATAAATTTATGGTTTGGAATAACTCAATCATAAATTTCATATATCATTGGTGATCCCGAAGGGAATGTCAGTGCGATCAACGATAGGAGAGCCGTTTGTTATATGAGCTACAGGATAAGCGGGACGACTATCTGCATCATTTCCGTTAAAACTTGCATATGCTTAGTGAGGTTGACGAATACATCGAGCGAGACAACTCCCTATCAGTATTATTATATTTAAATCAATTTATTAATATTTATAAGAAGGACATCGAAGCATAAAAATACTAGTATAGCTTTTTTTTTTTTGTTTGCGGCGTATCATCATCATCATCATCACATAAAACTCTTTATCTTTTTTTGTTTTCGTTCTCAAAGAAATCTTTATTCATAACCTTCAGGGATCGTCCATGTTCTTACGTTTTATAAAAACATTTACTAGAATGAGTATTGAAATTTCAAGCCTTCATCAACGGACGCATGCATTAATAGCGCAGGCGAAGGAAGGGACACTAGATAGGGCTAAAATGTATTGCCACCCTGTCGGCCGTCCCTTCCGATGATGGACATTCGCAGTCGCATTCCACAGCTCGAGAATTGGTCAATACTGGAGGGGAACGATTACAACAGTCTGTGTGAGGGACTGATTCTTTAGTTTATTGCATAGGACAATAAACTAAGTGGGAACGTCACTGTAATGCTAATAATGCTACTTCAAGCCATCTCACAGTACTGAAAACATTTCTTATAGAGAGGTTATGAATATAACGCAGAAAGGTCAGCCACGATCCCCAAAAGTGGAGACACCACCACTATAATGAACAGTGTTTACACGTTTAAGGACAAAATGAAGTGCTATAATATTAAATTAACCCACCAAATTGGGTTGGCCAATGTTGCTTCGTAAAGAATTCGTCAAGTATCCCATCATTATTTATCAGAATGTACAGGCCATCCAGCAAAAATGGGCACCACACTCACTACTAATAACAATATGACTTATTTTCCAAATTGTAAAAAAGATTCCAAAACATTTTACATGGAGAATGTATGTTACCATGGTATTTATTACTTGCCGAAAAGCAGACCAAAAGGTTGGATTGGATGAAGCTAAACTGATTCTGGATCCCAAAACAAGATGAAAAAAAGGTTCCAAAGGTGGCATGCAGATAATCCTTATTCTGGTCTGATTTATGTTTACTCACAAATCAATTTTGCAAAGCACAAAAATAAAAATTTGTTCATGATCCCTTTGATTTCTTTTGTCAATTTTTACTCTTTACTAAAGAATAAAGGAGATGACATCTACATTTGTTGATACACACATCAAGCATGGTTACAAGTTCATATATATAACTAAGACTTAGGGGGGGGGGGGGCCCTGTTTTGGTAATCCTAAATGAATTCAGCAGCTTAATCAACTTAAGTCGATAAGCGCCTTTGTAGTCTGAGGTCCATTAATAGGATCAGCTCTTCAGTATTTGAGTATGGAAGTTAGACGGAATAAGCGAATTCCATAATACTTATTTTCTTTGAGTTATAGGAAATTATTTACTTTCTTTGAGCTAAATAAAATACTAATTATATTGTTTCATTCCTTCAACACTTTTTTATGATTTTTTACACTCCACTACCAGATTTAAAGATTAGAATTGTTTGCAGAGATACAGAAACAAGATAATGATCGAAATCAAATACCTAAAATGAAACGAGTTGCGATTTATATGCTACTGAACAGACAAAATTAATGGAAGATAAATTTGCAAGAAATCTAGTAACTTTAAGCAATTATTTTCAGACAACAGATTATATGATAACACTACATGTAATATTTACTAATAGAAGAAGCAATCAAACAAGAACTAAGTGACCAAATTAACTCTTAAAGCCTCTACTAGATGTACACCAATAACCTGCAACTGTTAAAATTGGTCCAAGAAAAGGAAAACTCATCATGAATCTACTGCAAGGAAGCACTATGATAGAAGATAGTAAGGTGATCAATCATACTCGAGAGGAATGTGTTCATGGTGCTTGGAATGATAAATTATCATGGTTCAACATGTCAGGAAAACTTGCCTGGCAGCATCTGGTAGTCTTCTGCCTATATATATATATATATATATATATATATAGGCAGCATCTGGTAGTCTTCTGCCTATATATATATATATATATATATATATATATATATATATATATATTATATGATGGAGTAAGCCTATGCTTACTTGCTTTGGTCTTGAAATAAGCCAGATGATTGAAAAAGACTTCCAGCAAATATCAGGAAGGAGAAGAATGAGCTCCATTTTCACAAAATAAAATTGAAGTCTTAAGCAATTAGTATTATATGGTTTAGGGTTTAGAAAATTACTGATTTGGTAATAGTCTTTGTCCACTTCTTTTAATTTTGCTATAAGGAAATCAGTCATTGGTTTTGACGGATCCATGAAAGTTTCAAAGGTTTTTAGTCATTGATTAATAGTTTTTGAGCATATTGATATTGACTTGTATAGTAATCAATGACCAAGTATGCCTGTTAAAACCGGAGCCTACTGGTTTTTTTCTAAATGACCAAGCATGCCCGAGACCAAAGTATATGATGAGATATCATATTTCAGGTAACTCGAATCTCTATCCTACAAAATTGGCAACGTGATATGAACAGAGAGATTGACTCTATGTGAATGAGGCAATCCATTCGACTGAGACAACCAACGATAGCCTCGATGCTAAGGTGAGCCATTATTTTATAATCATAATCCTAATAATACGATACACGAAATCATGACTCAATAATAATCGAATAATCAACGTAATTGTTATTTGTATTAACCATTGCCTCAAATTTTATTATATTTTTAAATCATTTAAATCTTTTACTAACTTAGAATAGTAATTTTTATAAGATTATTTGTCGACTCTCTATCTTCATGACACTATATATTATAATAAATATGAAAATAAACTCTAATTGATCCAAACTCTCTCTCTATATATCGGACATATAGAATCTAACGCAATACTTAACAGTGTAACATTGTGGTTTTAATATAAATGTAGATAAACAAGACATAAACGATTATTTGTGATTATAAATGATTTCAATTTGTTAAATTTATGTTTATGAATGTGTGTGTGAAAATCCGTAACAATACACCAAGAATTATTATTGACGAAGATTATTTTTTTAAATCAAAGTATGAAATAGCTATTTGATGAGGAGAATTTAACTCCCTACTGTTAGAAATTTACTATTAATTTGTGATAACTACTTGAATTATGATTATTTTATAGGTATAAAAAATGCATTATATTTTCATAGATGCCCCCCAAATTGTTCGTACTTACACAAATGTTCCTCTCTTCCCATTCTTGCACCTTATAATTTTTTATTACACACTTTTAGCGGGTGAGAAGACGAGGAAGTTTCGAACAATAAATTCAACATTTTAGTCCGGAAAGGATGAACCAAATTGTAACTATAAAGCGTTTTTTTTTGTCATTTTGGCTGAGTTCTTATGATGCACTTATTATATTCTAATCATGATTTTTTCTATTTTCAATTATTTACTTATTAAAAAAAGGCTCCAAATTAAAATTTTAAGAGCGTCCTCAATTGGGTTTCTACCAAATGGTGCTCTTAATTAGATTTTATCTAGGGGATTCTTTTGTGTCAATTTGACAAAAATACCCTCTGCTCTTCACCCAATGCCCCCCCGATCGTCGTCGCCTCCGCTACCACCGCCGCCCTTGCTCCCACCACAAGCCGCGCCACCCGTCGCCTCCTCCCCCGTCGGTCGCCCTTCCGCGTCGCGGTGGGAGCAGTTGGGTAGAGCGGAGGCGAGCAGCGAGGGCGCCAACGATGGAGGCAACAAAGAGGCGACGGAGGCGGCCTTGCTGAGGGAGGGGGACAAGGCTGTCGCCAGCTAGCGGCGTTGCACAAGTGTCACTATCGTGAGGCATCTCCTTCCACCCGCATCTCATCCCATGCTTCGCGATCCATGTTGTAGACGTCGCCCCTCGGCGAGCCCTCGGTCACGTACATCCGCTGCCCCACCACCGTCGCATTGTACCTCGTCATCCCCCGTCGCATCCCCACGACTAGTGCCTACTGGCACGCCACGAGGTCGTAGCACTCCATTGTTGAGATTATGCCATCGGCGTCCCCTGCTGTGAATATTCGACCCTCGATCACCCCCCATTGTGAAGCACCGTGGGATGGGCATCGAGGGAGGAGGGGGGGAGGAGGAAGGGCGAGTGACATGCTCTCACCACAATGAGGAAGGGTGGGCGATGAGGGAGGAGAGGGGGGAAGGAGGAGGAGAAGTGGGAAGGGGGAGAGGAGGAAGGGGGTGGGGGCGACGGACGACGGTGGTGGCAGTCAAAGTGAATGGTGGAGGAGGGTAGTTTTGTTAAATTGATGAAATGGTGCCCCTTAGGTAAAAACTAATTAGGAGGGTGTCATTTATAAAAGTCAAACATTGAAGGGTTTTTTCAGATAAAATGTCCAAATTTTAAATTATATTTTAGATAAGTAATTTTAAAATATATTTATTGGTTCGTTTTGGCACTTATTTCATTCATCAATATGCTATCCTTAATTAAAAAATGTTATCATATGAGCATTATTTTTTTGAAAAGATTATTACAATTTTATATTAATATGACTAAAATGATTTTTGTTTATTTTATTTAACTGTATACGCATGCAGCGCCATTAAAAAGCCTAAATTGACTTTTTCTTTTTCTTCAAGGAAAAGCCAATAAAAAAGCATCGAGAGAAGAGAAGAGGGCAAAGTAGGCAACGCGGACGAAGAACAAAAGAAGTGCCCTTCGTCGTCTCTCAACGTGGAAAAGGTAAGATTTTGATGTAAAATTTGTTATTTTTTCTGTGAAATCAATTCATATCTTCGTCATCATGGCGATCTGATAATAACTAGGGTTGGGGTTTCAAGATTTAAATTTCTTCCCCTAGTGTCTGTTTCGTTCATCGCATAAATTAGATCGGTTTCCTTTGTCTGCGCTTTCTCATCCATACACGTGGGTCTCTGGATCTTGTGATGAGAGTTTGAGAAATGCCATTTTATGTCCGATTCCGTCGGTTGTGATGGGATTTGGCTTCTTTTTGCGGGATGTTTCAATGAGACATTCTTCGATTTTGGACAATAAAAAGGCACCTTTTCTTTTTACGAACGGTATCCTGATTCGAAGAGGTTGTCGTAGGAAGTCATACGTATCGGTCTATTGTTTATGTCTTATTTGCTATGCTAAGCGTTTTCCGCGAGACTAATTGTTCTGTTGCACAGGCACGAATTGGTCAAGGTATCGAAATCAAAACGAGGGTAAGTCCTTATAATTAGATTTGTGATAGTTTTTGGAGAAAAATGACATGGTTTCTTGATATTTGATTTGTTCTTTTAAGATGGGCATTCAAAGAGGATTTTGTGATTCGGGAATTTTCTCTGAGTCAGAGCGAATGTTGTTGTTAACTTGTTATCCCCTTTCCTTTTCTAATATCTTTTGGCTATTATGTTTCTTTTCTCTCTCTTTTTGTTCTTTTATTATTATAAAATATATATACTTCCTTTGGTGGTCATGAACTCGCCCTACATCAATGTTCCTACCAGAGCCAAAATTGCTTGCATTGGGCGAGTTTGTTAAAAGAGCTTTCCATGATACCATCTATCATTATATATTAGCTATTGCTAATTTTGTTCCAACTAATATAGTTTTTCTTTGGATTTCAGTTCAACATGTCTCCATCATCGAGTTTGTGCATTAACTATTTTTCATGGATCTGGTACTATCTGTTACGTTGAAACCAATGAGAAATATATTGGTAATTGCGTCCAGTTGAACTTGAGTTAATTTTTTGTTATGATACACTTGGCCATTTAAGTTTTTAAATTATTTATGGTTCTCATTTATGAAACAACTCTTAGGATTTTTTTGTTCTTTTGCGCTGTATTTGAAATATATGTATATATATGTTTTTCAGAAAAGCCTTTTCCTAAAATTTGATTATATCTCAGATAAGTGGATTATTGGTAAGTAAACAAAATTAGCGGATTACTTACTATGTGTGTTGCTTGGTTATTTTGTTTTGCATGGAGTTCCATTATCTCCTTGTTTTCAAAATAATGAAAAGTTGTCTGACTAATATAAGCATAAATTCAGCATTTTAGTTTTCTTTAGTTGCATAGTTATTCTTATAAGATAATCAATTTTCTGTTTACTTAAAGAAACTTTTCTTGCCTTCGTGGCATACAGACAGGTAATGGAGAACAAAATTCAGGAGGGTGAATATTTGGCCCTAATTAGTGAGCTCACTAATACAAATACTATACAGAATCATGAGGTGGAGTTTCAGCAACCTGACATTGAAAAACTGGAACTTGTGGAGGTGAAGGCTAATACAGAATGTTCAGAAGATGCTTCTGAGAATGAGACAGAATTCCTTTTGCGTAGACTTAAAAGTACTGCAACAATGCTTGCCTACCTGAAATCTAAAGCAACAATCATGGCAATTCCTCAATTAGCTCTTACGTCATGTGGGATCAAACATCAAGAGGGGGTAGGACTTGTTGACAAACATGGGATACCAGTATCTGATTGGTTCAAGGATGTTGATTGCCCTTCCTCGGAAGATTCAGATGTGGAAGTTCAACTGACAAATATTCCTCAGTTTGAATCTTTTGATGCCAATGATGGAGCATATACTGGTGAATTACTCAGTACAGTACACATGGTATCAGATGTCATGGAATCTCTCATTAAGAGAGTTATCATGGCAGAAACTGAAGCTGATAATCAGAAGGAAAAAGTGAAGTTGGGCATGGAAGAAAATACAAAGATGACCCTTCAAATTGAGATCATGTCAGCAAAGGTTGAAGAGATGGAAAAGTTTGCACTTGGTGCAAATAGTATTCTGAATGAAATGCGGCAGAAGGTTGAGGATATGGTCGAAGAAACATTAATACAGAGACAACAAGCTGAAGAGAACAAGCAGGAGCTTCATCGTGTAAAGCAGAACTTTGAGACATTAAGATCATTTGTTAAAAGTCTTATCAGTGTCAGAGAACTCCTCCTATCATCGGAGCAACAATTTCAGACTGTTGATGAACTTTTTGACAGGTACCTTATTCTATTTACTTGAGCCAACCGCATTTTTGTTGCTTTACTTATTAGATTCTAACTTACATAAGTTGTTTCTAGCTTGACTTGTAGTATCCTTAACTTTTGATAGTTCCTGTGTACATCTAATATCATCATTTGAATTAAGTAGTCAAGTTTGTATTCATAGCTTTAAGCCATGTGGTGGCACTAAAATAGTTAAAAATAAAAATAAGGAAAGTATCTACATTTTGCCGTGGTATATATTTTCTATTTCATTCTCTTGTCATATTTGCTAAAACATCTTTTTCTTTATTGTTTTGATTCAACTAGTACCGGGTAAAACTTTTAGTACAATATAACTTAATATGTATGTGAACATCATAATGTATTTTGATGTGAAGTTATGGATATCACTCTGATGTCTACATCTGTTTAGTGTAAATCATACTATTTATTTCCTAAATAGATGTCTACATCGTGAGATTTCAGTATTTGCTTTATCATGCATGGTAATTGCTTTCTCATGCTGATTTCTACATCGTGAGCTTATGATATTTTTTTAATGATTCACATTGTCTGGCTTTTCTGTTTCTTTCATGAAATGGATGTGAATAAAGTTTCAGTCTCTCAGACTTATCACCAGAGTCCAGTAGTACTCCTGTGGTAGTATGTATTTTCATAGCCAACATATCAAAATTTCTTTTATATTTTTGTCGGATTTTAAAATTGAAATCCAGAGGATTACTTTACCAAAGAGCTCTTTGTTTCGATATACAGGCTGCTTGTTGAGACGACTCATTTACAGAATGATAAGTTTCAGAAGGAGGCTGAAGTTCAGAAGCTCATTGAGGAGAATGTGAGATTGAGAGCTCTGTTAGACAAGAAGGAGGCTGAATTACTAGCCATGAATGAACAATGTAAGTTCATGGCTATTAGTAGTGGCAATTAATTGATCATATGTTGAACAGTTGAAATATTCAACGTGGTGATCCTTCTACCACACTGAAAGTTTGTGGTTAAATTCTTTAACTGTACAGTTCTGAGTGTGCAATGGTCAAGTACATACAGCTTTTCGGACATGTTGCAAAATGTAACTGGCTGCTACATTGATCGACCAAAATGTCACTGGGATTTATGAATGTGCTATCATCATTCTGATTATTATTTCAGAGAATCGAAGAGTGTCCTTATATGTCTTAACTTTTATGCTTGTTTCTAGTGAGCAATGCTAGATCAGAGATGTTGGTCCTATTGATGTTTTGCGCCCCTCAAGGATCCAAGCGGGAATGATCATCCTGTTTCTCCAACTAAAACTCGTCATTTTCATGTACCACACTTTCTTTGTTCTATTCCTTTTCTAATGACTATTGGTGACATTGTTATTATGTTAACAGGAATCATGTAGCTCCCATATCATATTGGTTCAATTTTTAGCTCTGCTTGATTTTTCTCTGGTTCCTCATTTTTGTGGAAGAGCATCATATCTGAAATCCTATCATAACACGGTTGAAGTCATACTGATACAATTTGGAAATCATTCATTGCCTTCTTTGTTCTCTGTACAGGTTGATGTTTTTGCTGCATCTTTACTTTCATCTTTTCGTTATGACTTTTTATGTCACTCTTTATTGAACTCAAATCAACCACTAGGATTGCCCGTGCCTTTAGATGCTCACAAGCTCAAATCAACCATGTGTTTTCTTCTTCCCAAAATTTAAAAGAAAAAGACACCCATTTTTATAACATTATATTTCTAGTTCCAATTTCCACACAGAACATTCTCCATATGTCAATAATAATTATTATAATGGTACTAAATTACTAATATCGGTAGTAATAGTAAGTACTATTAGCAACAGGAAGAAGAAAATGATCATGATATGATCAAACTTCTGACCCAAGTTGGGTTCATCTCGAAGGCTTAGACCCAGCCAGTTGGTGAACGCCAAACGCACCGCTTCTTTATCTAACGGCCATGGGCCATTGGCATCGACGTCAGCATCGACTAACCCCCACGATCTCGTACCCGACCACATACCACGAGATAGCTCATCCGGGTCCCATTTTTTCCAATCCTCCAAACCTCAGCTCGCTACTTTCGGGAGTGAAGGAAGCGGAAAAAAGAGGCTCCTCGATTCGCCCTCTTTTCTGCTTGGATTCGAGCACCGGATCTCAGCGAGGGAAGGCGTCGCGATGAGGGGAGCAAAGCAGCCGATCTACGCCGGGGCGGCATGGGTGAGGCGGCAGCCGCCCAAAGTGAAGGCGTTCCTCTGCGTGGTCACGGGCATGGCGGCCCTCGTCTTCCTCCGCTTCATCGTTCACGACCACGACAATCTCTTCGTCGCTGCAGAGGCCGTCCACGCCCTTGGAATCTCCGTCCTCATCTATAAGCTCACCAAGGAGAGGACCTGCGCCGGTGCCTGCCGCCCTCGCTTTCCCTTTGCTTGTTCTGTTTTGGTTTATTTTGATCTGTTGTTAATTCAAGAAATCGATCTTCGTATAGTTTTTGATAAAAAAATCGTAAATCTTACTTCTTCTGTGTGCTTGATTTGATTGTGGATGTAGCGGCGAGAATAATACTTGATGAAATTTTGTGATTTACCTAAAGGGTGCTTTAGATACGATGACTCAAGAAAGTTAATTGTTCACCGTCTGACATAATTTATGGGCTGGAGCAATATCTGATTTATCGTCAGGGTTCTGATTTGTGAGTTTGTTGGAGCTACCGTTACCGTTGATGGTAGGGTTATGACATGGAAGTTTGGAGAAGCGTATTACATCGTTGCTACTAGCAGAATTATCAGCTGATTACAAAGTTCAAAAATTCTGCTCATGAGAACTTCGAAAAGATTGGCTTTGGGTGGTTAGTTATATTTAGAACATGTTCTATTTCTGGATTGAATAGATGTGCCTGCTTAATGATGGTTTAAGTGAGTCTACAATTTGAGCTTATCAAAATCTATCATAAAATTCATGTTGCTATATGGACATTTGCATATTCTCTTGCTTGCCCCATTGTTGGTGTTATTTTTCCAGCATTATCATTTATGAGTACATGTGAGACCATGAAATAAAAGAACTACAAGAAAAAACCCTTCTTAGAATTTATCTGATTATGGATTTCTTTAATATATTTTTGTTATGTTTACTAATTTTTCCAATTAAGTTATTCAGTTTCTGTCTCATAAGGAGTTCCAACTTCGTTTTGAAGTGAATTAACATTTTTTTTTTGGGAATCTGGAACATTCTTTCATGGAGCATTGAAATGCTAAAAAAAAAATAGAACTTCTAACCTTATAATTTCTTTCACATGTATCTTCAAATAGTTGATTGCATCAAACTTTTTAAAGATTTATTTGTATTACTTATATGTGAGGCTCTTAGATATTTGTTTTTACTAGGGAGTTGAATGGATTTAATACGTCATGAATTTTTGTTGCTTTGGAATTCATGGTACCTACCTCTAAGCTTATAGAAATTGCACTTATCTTCTTGAATTGATTTCGTGCATTTACAATTCTTAATTTGCAGGACTTTCATTGAAGTCTCAAGATTTAACAGCTTTGTTTTTAGCTGTCAGACTTTATTGCAGCTTCGTTATGGAATACGATATACACACATTGCTAGATTCTGCCACTCTTGCTACTACTCTTTGGGTTATTTACATGATTCGATTTAAACTGAAGTCTAGTTACATGGAGGATAAGGACAACTTTGCCATATATTATGTGGTAAGATATGTTATGTATGTTTTGAAAAACAAAATAATAATAATCTCATTGGAAATTATTTTCTTGGTTGAAGTAATGGCTTTAGCCTACTCTTTGGAATATTTTGTATTTGTGATGGAGGAAATGTTCTTCAAATTTGGGTGATGAATTTGTTTTTCAAAGTTTGTATTTCCTTCACTCGGGTCTCAAGGGTCAATAACATGGAGGGTTGGGATTTTGAAGGAAATATACAAGTTTATTAAAAGTTTATTTTTCTTCTGCTAAGAGTTTCTTTTAATTTAAGCCTCTTTGCTAGTCTCAGAAAATTTTCTTAGCTGCTATAACAGTGTACCTTTTATTTAAGATTATAAATGGATCAACCGTTTTTCTGTTTTATATGATTGTAGGTTGTGCCTTGTGCTCTGTTAGCCTTTGCAGTTCATCCTTCTACATCACATAACATTTTCAATAGGATATGTTGGGCATTTTGTGTTTATTTGGAAGCTGTTTCAGTTCTGCCCCAGTTACGGTTGATGCAGAACACAAAGGTGCAACCTGAATTCTGAGATTCTTGTAAATTTTTTATAAAAGTTTTCTAATTGTATCTTCAACATGCTTTCTAGATTGTAGAACCATTCACAGCTCATTACGTTTTTGCTCTGGGGGTTGCAAGATTTCTGAGTTGTGCTCACTGGGTCCTTCAGGTTGGTTTAGTATGAGATTTGGTTCTTTTATGGCAATATTGTTCATATTTGCATTTTGATTAGGAATTATTAATATGCACCCATGTGCTTTTAACAGATTGATTTCTTAAGCATAGGCAGGATAATTTTATTTTCTCCTACTGTTCATGATCATGATAATTTGTAGGCTACTGGTTCTTCATCTATTAACATAGAAAGTTGATTGACAATAACCTATTTACCATTTATAAAATTGCTGCAAATTTTCTGTGTTTGTTTGCTTGGAAAAATTGCCCTACTATATTTATTATATTTTGAAATTCTTAACTTGAGTTTTCAACATCATTGCAAATCTGTTTTTTCTTGAATTTCAATTCTGAAACTTTTAATCTAATAATCAGATTTTAATGTGAATATATGTTCTTTCCATAAACCCTGTTAGTGAAGCCCATACATAGTGCACCATTATTGTCCTGCTTCTTTTTTGTGTTATCAGTTTGAAAGGCATGTGTATTGATTTTTCATTTATTTTTGTTGTAGTAATTTTTATGGTCTGGCCTATCCTACTTCCAATCTATCTGGATATCTCTCCAGGTGACCAATATTGGTGTCCATATTTTACTGCATACCAAAGATCTACTATTTGTGTCACTGTTTTACTGCAATTGGACAGACAATTTTCACTTTCCCTCCTCTCTCGATCTGCTTTATACCTTCAAAGTCATAGTTTTATTATTTGTATTGACAGCCACAAGTTAGCTTTATCCACAATGCATTTCCATACTATGACAATCATTTGCATGACCCATGATAGGTCTAATTATATGGAGCCACACAGTTATGAGTAATGAGTTCTGCTTTGCTAGTATAGGCTAGCATTATACTTTTTATCTCTGAGGTGAATATTATAAATGGAACACAAACTCACAAAGAAAAAGCTTTTGCACTATCTTACTGTAGAAAAGGTGGCTGGAACCTTTGTTATTCTTGAAAAAAAAATCCAACTCGAATTCTGTTGTTTCCACACTTTCTGTAATCATTCCTAATTAATTGACTTGTAATTGTCCTTAAGTGTAAAGAATAAGTAGAAGATTTAAGAAAAAACTAGTTAGAAAAAAAATCAAGAAAACATATGTTGTATACAAGTGTTTTTGACATCATGCAGAAACAGATACATACATTTTTGGTAGTAAAGTTTAAATAATTTGTATGGGAAGGTATGAGAAGTAAAAAAATCTAGTTACCAGAGAAATTTGTAAATGTGAAATAAAGGAATCTTTTGGAAACATGGACATTTGTTATACTTAAACATATGTTACATGAAGTATTTCCTTTTTGGTGTCTTTTGTAGGTCCTGGACACTCGTGGGCGATTGTTGACAGCTTTGGGGTATGGCTTGTGGCCATCAATGGTTCTTCTTGCTGAAATAGTTCAAACTTTCATTCTTGCTGATTTCTGTTATTATTATGTGAAAAGGTAACTAAAAATCTTCTTGTGTCTACATTCCCATATGGAAAAAATTGAAATCTGAAATCGATCTTCCCTTTTTTGTTCTGCCTTTTCATTTCTTCTGCAGTCTCATCGGTGGACAGCTGGTGCTCCGGCTTCCTTCTGGCGTAGTGTGATCCTATGTGATCGGTGCCACACTTCAGTTTGAGTTCATTTGAATTCTTTGTTGGTGTAACTGTAATGCCTCGTCTCTCATGCAAGCCTATGCTGGTTGTGGATTCACACTTGTGACATCTTAAGTTATGAAGAAGTCATTTCCATGGTTACGAAGATCAATTCTCGCATATAAGACCACCTTAAAGTGGGTGGGGATTGCTTGTTATCTGTGTGCTAAGCAAAGCATAATGCTAGTAGTTATTTCAGGATAACTAAATTGTTCTTTTTAACAGAAGGCTCTCTTAGTAGTTTCATAGTTGTAAACTTATCACACAGATCTGCCCGTTGTCATACTCGTGTTCTGGGATGAACTTTGACAAAGCATTAGAGCATTAAGATTATTCTTTTTCTTGTTAAAGGCTGTTCATCACATATTGAACTTGTCAATGTTTGTGGTCAGCAAATTTGCTTTATTTTCTCATATAGGTTGGTAAAAACCACAATTTTAAAGTAATTCAACTATGCTTGTTATGGATATCTGTGGATTCCTAATATATTCAAAATAATAACCAACTTGATGCAAGTAGGCAGTGAAGCTTAAATCAAGCTGAAGAGAGAACATTTCAGGGCACTTTTATCTACATACTTGGTGAATGAAATATCAGTGATGGCTAAACACCTTCAAAGAACCAATACCAGTTGTTAAGGCACCCTTAAGGGTGGATTAGCTGTTCCAGCATTGATGAGACTGCTTGAAGCTGTTCCAACTAAAAGATCAAATCAATAATGCCAGGTTGGAGAAGAGGAATTTATAGTTCATTCTTTAACACATTATGGTGTGACATTCTTGTGGGACGCTGCATTTGAAGACTATGAAACAAAGAGCTTCTGCATACTGGAACAGGTGCCCTACTAAAAGGAAGATGAGTGATGACTTCCGGATGGGTTCCTTCCAACTCCATTAATCTCTTTGACTCCTTTTTTAACTAGTTCTCATAAGAATAAGTACCTTGAACTCCCTACTCCATCATCTTTAGGTCATTGCTGTCCCCCACTCCATCTCATTTTGCACCGACCCTTCCCTCCAAGCTTCTTTAAATACCTTTACCATTCAGTACAGGCTTCACTCATCCAAACTTCAACCCAGACATGGAATACATGGCTTCTCTCTTGCTCCTACTCTCCATGGCTTCTCTACTCCTATCCCCACTTTCACTGGCTGACCCCAACGCTACCACCATGCCCACCCCATCAGGTGAAATCCAGAGGGAGATGGATCAGCAAATCCTTGCGACCGTACTTCCAGACTCGTCGTCCAACACCCAACCCTTCCTGACTTCTCCCACGGGGAAGTACACCAGCTACCTCCTCCGCCACAAGACCACACCGGAGTCCGGCGGCTACGGAAGTGACTTCTGCTACATCCAAATACAGGACACGGTCTCCGGTGACAGCGTGTGGGAGTCGGAGTGCGAGCCAGTGAGCAGCGCGAACGCGTGCACGCTCGTGTTCTCCGACACTGGGCTCGCGGTGCTCGACGGGAGCCAGTCGGTATGGGATACTGGTGCCAGCAACGGCAACAACTTCCCGGCGACGTTGGAGCTGGCCGACCTGGGCGACATGATGGTGGCAGACAAGGACGGGGAGCTGGTCTGGAAGGCCAGCGACGATCCGAGGGTGAACCAAGGTTGCGGGTCGCCGGATCTAGGATCAGGGTCGCCCACGTTCGTCGGTGGAGACGATAGCTCTCCGTTAGGCCAGCAGCTGCCACCGCCGCCACCGTCTCTGAGCGAAGGAGCTCTGCCTTTGGCGCCGGCGTCGCCGCCAGTTGTTGGAGACGACAACCTCACATCTGGCCAGGCGCCGCTACTGGCACCAACGTCGGCACCATTTGCAGCACCCACAAGTGGAGACGAGAACATCCCATACAACCAGCAGCCGCCATCATATTCAAGCAATGTAGCCTTCGGCCAACAGCAAGAGCAGCAGATGTCGGCGTTCCACGGCTTGCACGGAGTGAACCAGCCATTGGTGGACAACAATGCTTACGACAGTGGGTGCTCAAGGAAGGAGGGATTGATCGGAATCCTCTTGGTTGTGGTTAGTCACTTGGTGCTTCGTGGTTTATGATGGAGAGAGAACATTTACACGGATGATGTGATGCTTGAATTGGCCAATGTGGGAGGTTTGAGTTGTGGAATATGCCGTAAGAGTCTTCTTATGTGTCTGATGTCATTCACAGTGTTACTACTTCTTTTGCTATTAATTTAAAGCAAATTGTGTTGATGAATTTTTATGTTGATACTGCTGTTTTCTACCCTAATACGTTACTATTCCTTTCGGATGTGGATTCTCTTTCTTCAGAGCCTGAAATATATTTAATGTAGTTTCTATTCATGTTTTATTAGCATCAATCAAATGCAAGACCGAACAAGCATCATTGATGTTTAATTCTTTTTTCCCTCGACAGGTTTGTAGATTTGTTATTGGATTCCGATCGGGTTATCGGGTCAGGTCCATTTGAAGGCCTGCGTGCACACCGAGATGTTTCTATTTGAGGGAGAAGGCGGGATTCAGCTAGGGTTTCTTTTCCGGTTGGGCAGGCGGCGATGCAGAGCAAGAAGAGGCGACGGGTCGATCCGCCGACGATCCACCCCCGGAATCGGTACTCGGAGAAGCCGCCGGACTTCGGCCTCCTCGCCGACCTTTACCCCTCGTTCAGCCCCTACGTCTTCCCATCCTCCCGCCCCGGCGGCCGCCCCTCCATCGACTGGACCGACTTCAACGCCACCCGCGAGCTCACCCGTGTCCTCCTTCTCCACGATCACGGCGTCAATTGGTGACATCTCTCTCCTTCCTTTGCTACCCCAACTGGGGGTATTGATGACTTCGCTTTTCTCACTCTCCTTTGTATCTGTAGAACTAAGCGATAGTCAGTTTATGAAATTTAACGTGAGCATGGATAATATTTCATTTGTGTTGGATTATATAGCTATATTCGAAAAAAAGGGGATCTTTTTCAATATTTTGAATAAATGTTTTAATATTTTGATTGTGCCCTTCTGCTTATCCCCTTCGTTCTTAGGAGAATTTGCTTGATTTTTCTTCGTTATATCTACCAAATTCTTTTTGCCCCGTTCATAGTTCCCTTTTTGAAGAACATATTATTAATTGTTAGCAGACAAGTTCTTAGATGCTTCCCTGCACGCTTATAATATTATAGATGCTCCTCTAAATTTAATAAGCTTCTATGAACACATTTTGGGATATTATAGGTACCCTTCTAAAGTTACAAACCTCACCATTACCTATTCGATTTAAAATTGGAGTATATATGAGAGTTTGTTAAACTTATAGTGCAATAATAAGTGCAATTCGAAAGGGGTATATGTAAAATTTTTACATATTTTGAATGGTGCACATAAAATTACCCTTTATAACTTCACATTCACAGAAGAAGTTGCAGTTTTGTTATTATTATTAGGATCTTTGGACTTAATATTACTAAATTATTTGATATATTGTGTTCTATAGCTATTGTTCCTTTGTAGAAAAGCTTCCACTTGTATGGTTTCAATTTACATAAGGGGGATTGTACATAGTAATAGTCTGATATTTGACACTTTTGCAGGTGGATCCCTGATCGTCAGCTCTGTCCTACAGTGCCAAATCGATCAAATTACATCCATTGGATTGAGGACTTGCTGTCCTCTGATCTGATCCCAGTATGGGACTGCTCTGATAGAAAAGTGAGAGGCTTTGACATTGGAACTGGTGCGAACTGCATATACCCTCTCCTCGGTGCATCTCTCCTTGGATGGAGTTTTGTTGGATCAGGTGAGCTATGTGATCTCTAACCTTCTGCTCTCTAAATACTATTTGAATGTTGTTGTATTTGATTAGTTCTTAATTCCTGAAAATGCAGCATGGTAAAAGAACTTTGGTTGTAGATGTAACAGATGCGGCATTAGAATGGGCTCGAAAGAATGTAGAGAGCAATCCCCACCTGTCAGAGTTGATTGAAATCAGAAATGCAAATGATTTTTTATGTTCCGCTGAAGTCAAGCCCAAATCAGGGAAAATTATTGAGGGGGAGCTGTTCGCAGAAGAAAAAGAAGCAGAATCCTTGGAACCAAAGCTGGTGTTGAGCAGCTTTTCTAAACCTCATGTACTTGTAGGTGTGGTCAAGGATGATGAGAAATTCGACTTCTGCATGTGCAATCCTCCATTTTTTGAGAGCATCGAAGAAGCAGGTCTAAATCCCAAAACTTCTTGTGGAGGAACTCCCGAGGAACTGGTTTATCCTGGTGGAGAACAAGCTTTTGTAACTCAAATTATCAATGACAGTGTTGTGCTGAGGAACTCCTTTCGGTAAGATTTGAACCTATTTTATTGTTAGTATATGTTACAACTTTCCGAAGGAGGTCACATTCTGTTTATTTTTGGTTGTAGGTGGTTCACATCAATGGTAGGGAGAAAGGCAAATTTGAAAGTTTTGGTGTCAAAGCTTCGTGAGGTTGGGGTTTCTTTAGTTAAGACTACTGAGTTTGTTCAAGGCCAAACAGCAAGATGGGGTCTTGCATGGTCATTTATAGCTGTAAAGAAAAGCTCCATTGCATTAAATACACCAATAAAGAGCCATCATTCCTTCATGCTCGAGGTTTGTACATCAAACACACTATTGAACTAATAGACTGATGTATTTAGAAAACTAAAACATTGTTATATGGTGCATCTATAATAAGCAATTAAGTAATAAAACATCTCTATTGGAAATGACCATTTTGAAAAAAAAAGATCAGCCAGATTTGATGATTCAGACAGTGTCATGTTTTTTGGCAATAGTGAATTACAAATCTTGTTCTTTTAAGAAATCCTGAAATGTGCTTGATTTTTCTTTTGCTAATGATGACTTTTTACCATTTCTCTGGTACTGCAGGGGCTTCAACGACAGTTTGGTGCATTCCAAATATTGAAGGCTGTTGAATCTTTTTTCCTGGTCAATGGTGCCATTTGTAAATGTGATTTTTCATCATTTTTGGTTAATGTGAGCTCTCTAATTTCTGAAAATTTCTGTTTATATTTGTGTCATATTATGCATTTCAAATTCTTTAACTTCATGGCCTTTTTATAGGTTACATTATCAAATGACCAGATAGGTGATTTACTTAAAGATGGCCTTGCTAATATAGGTGGAAGAGCCATTAGTTCGATGTCAAATACATCAACTGACTTGAAGTTTCCGAAGGAACTCTTGTTTCATGTTTCGGTATATGTCGTACTAAAATGTACTCAATGCTAATTTGTGGTTTAGCTTCTAATATCATCAAATGCTTCTTCTAGGTGTTTGAGCAGTCTCCTGGCACAGTTTTAGTAAGAGGATCACTTTTGCACAAAGACAATCCATTGTTAGGTACATATCTTCTCTTTGGCGAATGCATGAAGTTGTTGATTAGACTATTTGCTGATGTTAATATGATAAGAATTGTTTGAGTGTTTTATGTTATTTAGTGAATTTTCCTCTTTTTTTTTCTGGGAATCTCTATTTTCAACATCTTATTTTCTCTATCAGTGCCTATCTGTTTTATGAATTACCATGACAGAAAAATCTAGATGAATTTTGTAGCTTAACTAAAAGGATGTATTAAGCAATTGAATTGTAAGGAGTTATGAACGAGCAATGGAACATACAAGTCCAGCTGTGTCGAAGTATTTCAAAACATGCATGTCTGACCTGCAAGAGAAATTTTCTCCAGTTATAGCCAAACTAGTTGTGCAGCTGGTAGCAAGACATAGGTTGATTGATATGGGTATCAGAGTATGGTAGTTAAAGTAGTTGTTAGATCGTGCAGGGTTCTGATTATACTTACGAAAGATATAGTTCAGTTCAAGTACATGCTTATTTGGTTTTGTGTAGTACTGGACATACTGTGGTTACCATGGTCAGTTTCAGTACTATGATGGTCACTTCATCTTTTGCAGTACGTTCCTAATTGCTATTTTCAGGAGTGTTTTCTTCTTTATTTTCACGATTGGAGGAAGCTCTGAAGAATGATTTCGTCAACAAATTGCGTGGGAGCTAAATGTTCTCCTGGTGGCCAAATGTTGTTATTATGGCAGAACAGATGCATCATCTGAATTGGAAGGAAGAGAGGTGGTTGCTTTCAGGCTGCTAACTCGAGTTTTGTTTAGACCAGTAGGTTTGAGTATTGTCGTCTCTTGAAGTTGCTTGATATAGAGATCCTTTTTGGGCTTTTGGTACTAAAATATTTGTATATGCTGTCGAGTTCTTAGATTACTTACAATCCTGTGCATTAATCTGATGGTGTTATGAATGCTTGATACTGAGAGAGGATGGTTACCTCAAATATCATGGTCGTGTTTTACCTTCTAAACTCCATCAAATGTTCAATTCTTTCATTTATGACTCTTCTGTGTGATTTCTTTCAGAAGAGAGCACAGAGAAAAGGTCGTCATCTTACTAATTAAGGTCGTGACAGCTTTACTCTGATCATTTTAAGGAAATATATTAATTAAGTATATCTGTCGATTAGACAGACACGTGGTGACAGAATGATTAGGGGGACGAGATTAGTGTCCTCGATAGAAAAGTAACATCATCCAATGATTATGTTTATATTAATATAAAATAATATATTAAAATATTTTTTTTTCAAATATCGATTAGTTTTTAATTAACTTAAACTCTAGTTCAATTAGTCTAATTGAACTCGATTTAGCTAGAATATATATGAATCAATCTCTAATATTCATTTAATCGGTTTGATACTTAGACTATTATAATTTGATAACCCCTTGAAACAATCTAATCGAATTTTATTTGGTTCAATCAATATTTAGGTTTAAATTAAATAAAATAAAGATAATGAGATAAATTACATTATACTAGGCTAGGTTGGGCTAGCCCACGTGCACTAGTTATGCATGCACCATAGTAGGCTAGGCCAATCCATAACCCATGGATTGATCATATGTATCACACATGATTTGCCCATATTAGGCTGGACTAAGTTAGCCTATAGGTTGGGGTTTGACCTACGAGCGAACTTGACTTGCTACATGGGCTTGGCCTATTGACTAGGCCTAGCCTGTAAGTTGTGACCTGACCTATGAGTTAGGCCTGCTTGTTGATTGGGCTTCATCTATTGACTAGACCTAGCTTGACTAGGCTTAACTTGTGGGTTGTGACATAATCTATAAGCTGTGACCTTACTTGTGTGTTGTGGCTTGACCTATAGGTTAGACTTAACGGTTTCAATCTAAATCCTATCTAATTCCCTCAATTTTAAATTATGATGTCATAAAATTATAATCAAGCATCTATTAATTAATAAGTAGTCAAAACATAATAAATAATAATAGATTAAAAAATAAACTACTTAAGAAGGAAATTGTATTCTTAATAAAGTTTCGTATAAATCTAATAAAAATTTTAGAAATACATATGACATAAATAATTTTAATATATTTTAATCACAAAGTAAAATTAGATACCTTTATAAGGATAAAAGAAGATTTTAGAAACTTTATATAATATGTTTTGATCTGATAATAAAATTTTTGACATTTAAAGGAATAAAAATTATTTTAGAACTGCATATAATATATTTTAATTTAAGAATAAAATTTTAAATATTTAAAGGGATTGAAGAAATTTTTTATTTTTTTAAAAAGATAAGGAAACCTACCTAATGCAACTCTTCGTTCCTCCTATTACTAGACTTAGTTTGGTGAGGAATAAACGAGTGAAATCCCTCCCTTAAATAGAAGGAGGTGAGCCCTCTATGTAAGAGATTTTTTTATTCTCATATTTATTTAATATTTATTTTTATTTAATTTATTAACAAAAATGGCATCATCTTACTTGAATTGTTGAATAGTTATGTTTTAAATTTTATTAGTAAGAAAATAATAATAATAAAATATGCATAAATTGAGGGTTTGATTATATTTCTCCCTTGCTAAAGGAAATTTGTTTTCAAAATTTAGCTTGCCCTAAGAAACTACTTAATGATATTATTCTTTTATATCTTTTTCTCTTTCCTAAATTACCTCTTAGTTTGATTGATAATGTCAATGAATCTTTACTAAAGGTATAACTTTATTTCTCAAAATACCCTCTTTCATCTTCAATATCTAGATTAGTTGCTCTACAAAGGTGGCATCATCTTTTTTGTTATAATGGTTGGTAATATATGACATGGGATGTATCTTTGATATATTTCTAGAGCAGAGAGGTAGAATACACCATAAGTCAAACCAAAGCCATGGACAATATTAATCTGTATGTCACAAATCGACCTTCTATAATATCTTAAATAAGTCAATGAATCTAGAGGCTGATTTCAACTTTTGACTAAACCTCATGACTCCCCTGGTTGGTGATACATTTAAGAGGACGTGATCAACTTTGAACTATAGATCTCTTTGCTTTTAATTTACATAACTTTTCTAGTGACTTTGGGCTTTTAATAATCCTTGATGTATAGTTCAAAAATTATCAACGTCTCGTTAAATCAATTGAGATTCCAAGAGCTTTCACTCTCATACCTCATCCTAATACATAAGTGATCTACAGTTCCTTCCATAAAGAGCTTTAAATGGGGTCATCTATATATTAGAGTGATAATATTAGGACTATAGTTAGGAGAGTCATAATTGAGTTTTATTGAAAGGGACATTCATGTAAAACCTACCTAACCGACCCTTATTAAAGAGGTGAAGAGTCCAGCTAAGAATAAGATTAGTTTGGAGGTTGTTTTTTAAAAAAACATTAGGTGTTGGTTGGAAGTAGAAGTCTTGAATATGAGTCCTATTAGGAGTTGGTTAAAAGTATGAGTCTTGAGTAGGAGTCATATTAAGAGTTAGGGTTTAGAAGCCCTATAAATAATTATGTATTCATCCTCTTTTGGAAAGAAATAGATGAATCTTTTTAGTATCCTTTGAGTAGCAACTTGGAGGAAGGAACCCCTATAGAGTTCTAAGGAGGCCGATCCCTTAAAGAGATCAACTCCAAGCTTAAAATCTATAAGGGTTCTAATATTTGGTATCAGAGTAGCATTCTTGGCATCTTGTTGTCCTTCCACAGCTATCCATTAGCCCTCCACTGTTGCCCAAAGTAATTTCCATAATTGCTTAAAAGATCGTCGTCGAATTCCGCCGTCATCTCTACCACCACAGATCATCCTTTGATTTCTTCGTGAATTATAATAGGTTCTGGTTTCCTACCTTATTACTACTGTAATTTAGTTCCTTATTCAAAAATCCAAAAAAGTTATTCCGACATTGCTGCATAAACTTTTCATCGTAAAGTTTTCATCTCTACGACGAAAGATATACTGTAGAATTCCAACCGTATAACATAATTTATTTGATCTTACTACTATATTTTTTCTATCCAAATCTCTATAAAATTTTTACGATGGCTTTGACACTTCCTAACAATGGATTTCCCTTTGGTTTCGTCAAAAAATTCTCAATATAAACTACTGACCTTTTATGTCCAAATTGCTACACTTTATACGTAAAAACCTACTGTAGTACCTTTCCGTGATCTTCAATTTTTCCAAACCTTCCACCACCCTATGCCATTAACTTATCAATAAAAAAAAGACGGGGACATCTCTGATCTACAAACATATGCTATAGCTTCTCAAGAATTAATTGATACCAAATTTGAAACATTGGAATCTCGAATTGAATTGTGACTTGAATCGTGCTTGAAGGACAAATTGCGCGCTTTGTTTGCAAAATTTAAAATTGAACAACCGTTGAGTCCAACCAAATTTTAGTAAGGAGAGACTTCAGAGAGACCTCCAGAGAAGGAGGGATAGCCCTTGGACATTCTTCAGCCACGCATGAGGGTGGACTTCCCATGATGGGAAGAAGAAGACCCGGTGGGGTGGATTTCATGCGCTGAACGTTACTTTCACTACTACCGAACATCGGATGATGCTATGGTGAAAATTATTGTCATCCACCTTGAAGGAGATGCTATTCAATGGTACAATTGGCTGGAATATAATCATTGGGCTCCAATGTGGAATCAATTTAAGAACGCACTGCTGAATTGTTTCAGACTTATGGAGTATGAAAATATCGATAGCCAACTCGCAAAGATTCGACAAACCTCTACGATTCAAGAGTACCAAACCAGGTTTGAGAAGCTATCCTACCTTGCTCATGATTGGATTGACCATCAATTGTTAGAGACATTCATCGAAGGACTCAAGCCAGAGATAAAAGGGGAGGTTAAGGCGCGACAGCCCCATACTGTGACAGTTACAATTTCTTTCACCCGAATATAAGAAGAATAGCTCAACTAAGATGCTCAGAGGATGAGAACCTCTCCTAGGCCTGTGGTATATAAATCTCTTTCTACTCTCAGCTATCCTTTACTACCAAATAAATTGACAAGAGAAGAACTACGTGACCGATCAGCAAAGGGACTTTGTTGGCATTGTGATGAGTCGTGGAACCACGATCATCGCTGCAAAAGGGGCCACCTCCTACTGATTGAACCTCTTGAAGACATGGAGGAGGAGGAGGTCCAGGAGCATAAGGAAGAGGTCGCGGATGAAGAACAACAGTCGGTTGATATTACAATGCATGCCCTTGTCGGTTACACGAACTCGCAAATGATGAAAGTGGGAGGACTTCTGAAGCAACAACCTATCGCTGTTCTTATTGACATCAGGAGCACTAATAATTTTATGAACACTAAGGTTGCTATCCGGATGACCTTATCTATCGAGAATTACAGCAGGTTTGATGTTAAGGTCATCGATGGACGAATTTTGAAGTATAATCATAGGTGCCCGCGGGTGAAACTATTGCTACAGGACCAAGAGATAATTGCAGATTTCTTCCTCCTCCCTCTTGATGATTATGAGGCCATGCTCAACATCGAATGGTTGATGAAATTAGGTGATGTTTCCTGGAACATTGTGAAACTAATTATGAAATTTTACGGTAAGGGGAAACAGGTAATACTGTTTCCCCTTGATGATTGCAGATTTCTTCCTCCTCCCTCTTGATGATTATGAGGCTGTGCTCAACATCGAATGGCTGACGATATTAGGTGATGTTTCTTGGAACTTTGTGAAACTAATTATGAAATTTTACAGTAAGGGGAAATAGGTAATACACGGGAAACGTGGGGGCGACGTAACGACGATTTGCACACAACGAATGAAGAAGGTTTTGTACAAAGCATGCAGTGGCTTTTTAGTACAACTTGAGCAACAAATTAAAAGAGAGCCAACAGAATTTGAAGATCCAAACCTACTTCCTTTGCTTGCTGAATTTTCAGATATATTTGACGAGTCGCGCATCTTACCTCCTACCCGTCGGCATGATCATTGTATACCGATTC